CAGCTTCTGGAAGCAGTGCATGGAGACCCGCCCCCGGCAGCGGGGGCACCCAGGCTGGCAGCTGTTGGAAGCAAGCTGCGGAAGCTGCTCTAGCCCTGCTGCACCGCTGGGGGTTGCAGCAGGGTTCCCCAGGCATTTTAAGTCTCTCGGGGGCAGCACCCCTTAATGCTCTGTGCCCACACCACGGCTCAGCGCCTGCCCTAGAGTCCCCTCAGTCCCCCCGTCCACTAACACTCTCCCACCACGTCTCTCCTGCCTGCTCCCACAGTCCGTTTGCTTCCCCAAGTCAGGAAATCAGATGAACTGCTGCTGAGAACCAACAAGGGCAGGAGCGGCCTTAGCACCTTCGCATCCCTGCGGGCCCCAATCTTCTCAGCAGCTCTCTCCTCCGTGCTGCATTTGGAGCAGCCCAGAGGGACCAGGGATTCTGCTCTACCAAATGCCCCCCCTAAGGACAGGCCATTAGAGCAGCTGGGATCTTTGCCCCCTAACATGTAGGGCAGGGATCTCCAATCTTTTGAAGCGCGAAATCACTTTTTGAATTTTAGTGCAATCCAGGATCTACCTCAAACCCAAACACCCTTGCACTACCCTCCTGCCTGCCCCTTCTCCGAGGCCCCCCCCTTCCTCACTCACTTTCATCAGGTTGGGGGCAGGAGTTTGGGGGTGCAAGAGAGGTTCAGGACCAGGGCCCAGGTTCAGAATACAGGCTCCAGCTGGGCACTGCTTACCTCAGGTGGCTCCTGGGTGGGGGTGCAGGGGCCTAAGGCAGGCTCACCCCTACCCTGCCCCTGCCCCACTCTGAAAAGCAGCCAGCACACTCTCTGCACCCACTCTGCTCTGCAGAAATGGAGGGAGGGGCACCATGACATCAGCACCTCACGGCCTCCTCTTTTCATGCCCTGCACAACAAGCAGGAGGCTCCCAAGAGCGAGGGGCACCTCCAGAGGGCAGGAGCAGCACGGCAGTGCTGAGAGGGGGAGCAGATGAAGTGCAAGCAGTTGACAGGCTCCTGGCCAAACCTGTCAGGATCACCTGCCAGAGGCTCCAAGATCTACCACTCGATCCCAATCTACCGGTTGGTGACCACTGCTGTAGGTGAGAAAGGAGACAGATTTCATTCCTTAGAAGGGCAGAGGGGGGACAGTCTGTGAGCGAATGGGGCAAGATGGCAGAGGAGGGGGGCTCCAGGACAAGCCTATGTAGTAGAGCTGGTTGGGAAAGCTCCCGCCCCACGACATTTCAATGAATAGTTGTCTAATTTGTCCATGGAATATTGACTTGGAAGTCAGTGTTCCATGCTCCCAGTCTTCTCTTTAGCCCTGCCGGCTGGTCAGACTACCGTCCAGCACCGAGGGCAAGCCTGGACCTAGGGAAGACCGGAAGTGAAGGGTTTCATGGAAGGTGAAAGTCTGCTTGGGGAGCGTGGCCTAGAAGGCCAGTGGGACACGAGACAGCTCAGCGACCACCACATGAAGCCATGTTGCAATACCTTTGCCATCTGAAATGTTACGTTCTCGACTGTTAACCAGGCACGCCTAAAGCCACATCACAAAAGGAAATAACTTTTAAAGTTTAACTTACTGCTCAGGTGGGTCCCATTGTTGGGACTTTGGTTGGACAATAAAGTCAGCATTTGAAACAATTACACATCCCACTAATTAGACACAACCAGATGAGTTTGATGAAAATTGAGACGATCCTGCAACATCAATTTGGTTTTAAAAATGAAGTGAGAAATATGGATGATGGTGACTCATCAGGATGTCACGAAGTCTTGTGAAATTTAGTTTGGGTTTATTGAATTGACCAGAACCCCCTCAAATAACTGCTTAGAAACAAAATCAATACCATTAGCTTGATTTTATTTACTTGACAAGATAGAAAACTAATATAAGATTGATTAGCAAGTCATTAAACATTAATTTTGCATTTCCCTTTTATAGCAATATTCAGTTTTTTGGTTCAACAGACAGTCAAATACACAGTCTGCTACTTTTATAGCAATATTCAGTTTTTTTGGTTCAACAGACAGTCAAATACACAGTCTGGCTAGGAGGGGCATTCAACACTAATGTGTCAAACTCCGTTTGTATCTGGATCTTGCACTACATATCCACTTCAATTGGTTTCTAAAATCGGACTATTTGTGAAAGCTTTGGAATGGTTAGTTTCTCTTTAGTATTCATGAACTGACTCTCAGGTTTTACATTGCTGACATGAATTCCCATGTACTCGTAAGGTGTCACACAGAGCTTTGTTCAGCAGTGTCTTCTAAAAGTAAGATGTGATTTGACATCAAAGATAAGCTGCAGAAATGCTCTGCAGCAGGTTGAATTTAAATGCCTGCAGCTCCAACACTTCCCATATATGAATCAAAAGCAAATGAATTTTCTTGTTTTCAATGTATGGAACTCTACTTGTTCATCGCCTACAATTTCAACTTTGCATTTGTTCCTTTTTCCTCTCATTGTCAGGATAAGCGACTAATAGATTTAACTTAATAAAGACCACTAACGCATGCTTAGAACAGAACACAGAAAAGTTAGTAAATGCTTTATTATGCATATTTACAAAAAACTGAAGCTATACGAGGCCCAACAAAATTACATCTTTAGAAAATCTTTATACATACCAATACAGTACAGTATTCCAAGAATTTTCCATGCTATACTCAAGTATTTATCTGCAGCAAGAAGGAGTTTATTATCCCGCAATTTATGCCTTCATCGCATCCTTGCAATATCCCTCCCGCAAATAATTTGATATAGATCAACTGGTCCACCAGAGGGCCATCCAGCTGAAGTATTCATATTTACTCTCAAGATTGCATTTTGCTATTGCTTTCAAAATATTTTAAAGTGGCTTGTAATGACGTGAGTACCAATTTTTACACTGCTCATTTTTAGCCATCCAAATCTCTCCCCTTTTACCCTGCCTGAATCTACACATGGATATGCCTCAGTAGCTTGCCTAAAGCTGCAGATTCACATTTTAGGGTAGCAATATAGAGCGTTTCATCTAGGTTTTTTCCTTTCGTCTACTTTTAGTACATCCTCCTCCACGCACAGACATCACTGCTTCCTCTCAGATGCTACAGACAGAAAGGCTGATGGTCTCTTAACACATAACTATGTCTTTCAAGTAGCTGCTGCATGTGATAGATATCACAGTGCACATGCATCTCATCCCAGAGACTGAGTCACCTCTGGACACACTCAGGCAAATGGCAGGTTAGACAGTGAGCTGGCTTCTGTTCAGGTCTGTACTATCTTAGCCTTAGAAGAACGCTGCTCTGAAGGCTGTCCTGTTCCTTTCCATCCTGACCAAATTTAATGAAGGTGTTTGAAGCAAATTTGCTGTGCCTGCTTCCAGGCAATATTGTTTACCAAAAACCAACCAACCAATTCTTAAAAGTTCACACTTTTCCCTTACATCACTAGTGTACATTCAGGAAGACTGAATTTATATGCACTAGTTGAAGTGGATCTTCAGTCTAAAGATTGTTCCAATAAGTTAAAGGGAAAGTAAAGGCATTGTTTTAACTCCAGTGGGTTAAAGGGAACGAAAAGGAACTCTATTTCGGTTTTAATTTCCAGACATGAGATGACTTTTCTACTTTACTCGTTTTAAAAACAAAAACAAAGTTCAAAGAACCTTTGCTGACTTACAAAAATAAGGCTGCCACATGCTTACAGTTTCAGCAATATAACATATGCTATACCATGAACAAAAGTTAGCTTTGTATCATTCTTGTACACAAAGCCTTCTCTCAAACTTTAATGCCAGCTTTGCTTCACATTCTATAAACTCCATTAAATCCTCACTGGAACAGAATCTCTGAGGAAAATACAGCAGTGAATAATAATTTAGTATAAGGAGAGTTTATGGAAACCATAATACAAAAGGTACAATTTTGCACCAAACTTAGAGAGGGTTCTGTTTTCTATTAACAATGGCAATATTCAGTCACTCACATTACACAAGCAAAACAGAAGTGAATTGGTCTTCTGGTATGTTCCTCCCAAAGTCTGATTCTCTTGTATTTTTACTAATAAATTTCCCCCTTTGCATTTGGGCAAGCATACAAGGTGTTTCTAGTGCTCATTCCTCATCTTTAAAAATGGAATATTTAGAGATTAGATTTTACAGAGATTTGTTCAAGACACGTGAATTGGGCATTGGATGCAACTTTCTAGTGCTCATTCCTCATCTTTAGAAATGGCATATTTAGAGATCAGATTTTACAGAGATTTGTTCAAGACACCTAACAGAGAAAATTGCTCAGTAGTACGGATAAAAGCAAACTCAACCTCTGGACAGCACTGTAGGAGTGAGACAGTATCCCACCATACTGCATGAACCTTAAATGGCTATTCGTACACTACAAAACTTAAGATTTCTCAAATGCCCATGGTGTGACTTTTTTCTTCCTCTAGATTTAGTGCTACATCCTCACACACGACGCATGCGTCTCACGCATGGCTCCCACATGTCCAGCTGCCCCCACTTGTCAAAGTTTAGTTAGTGTAAACCCAAAAACAGTTAGTCAATATCATGAATAATTGGGACAATACACTTATTATCCTGACTACTACTGTTGCTACCAGGATTTTGCTTGCAAGAAGCCTTCATGTCTGCAGGCCAGTAGACCATGAATATGCAGCAATCATCCACTGTTTGGGTGGGAAAAATCCCTAATCAAAGTAGCACCTTCTACTTCCCCCTCTGAAAACAATATCTAATGACAAATGATTTTCCTTGAGCCTTGTCCTGAGAACACCTGAAGTAATGCTATACCTCTTGGCAAGCTCAATAAGGCAGCAAAAAGTGAGAGAGGAAAGAGGACCTGCAGAGATGGTTTTCAGGCCACAAGGCAGTATATTTCTGCCACTATTTAATGATGTCTTACTTTGGCAAAATGCTAATCTCAGTTAGTAGGTTCAACATAAAGGACACATTGTGATTAGCATTTTGCCAAAGTCAGTTAGTAGGTTCAACATAAAGGACACATTGTCTCCCTGAGCAAAAGGCTCTTTTTTGCAGACAAATTGCTTACATTGCTTGTTTATATTGCATGGACCAATACATCTTGTAAAACCGAACAGCAATTATATTTCTTTTGTAAAGAATATTATTAGATTGAAATCTTGCCATCCTTCATTATCTTACTGCTTTAACATATAATTCTTAGCTTCAACCACCTTATATGCATCTTTTGTAGTCATTTAACCAGTTCTACTAATGACCCTCTAGAGGTAGCAGTCCAAAAACTTCCACTTCTAAAGGCACCAATGAAATTGCATCTGTGCTTCAATTCCCAACACCAAGAAGTTGAGTACATCTGTCAGAAAATGGATGACTTTATATGTGATGATCTAAGAAATAGAAAATCAATTTCTACTACACTGCATCCACCAAATCTTGGGAGTATTTATCATAAATCACGTAATTCCTCCAGCTTTCTTCCAGCCAGTGTGTTGCTGCTTTTAATATTTGTAGCATGGAAACTTCTTAAACATTAACAATGAAGTATAGTCAATGGACATTCATTTTAGACCTGATTTTTAGTTCTCTGTCTAGACGAGTATCTCCTTTAAAAATCTGTAACAACACAGTGCACTGCCGATTCTGGCAACAATATTTCCCTTGCCTGGTCACAGCTCCAACTATCTGAGATACGTGTAGTGAAAACCTTAGTTTAAGCTTTATTTCAAGTTCTTCCAAATTGGTGTTTCCCAGCTCCTATGTGATAAGTGGAATATGGAATTCGTTATCAAAAATAAGAGGTCTCCGAGGAGGATTTGGCTCCTTGTCTGCTTTGTGCAGCAGTTTGAAGAGTCCTGTTCCGATGTTCATGGGAATTCCCATGATGATACACTCAGAAACACCTAGGAAAGAAAACACAGTGACTAAAAGCTTGCCAAAATTACTTGCTCTGCTGATTCTCCTCTGTATACATCCTTAGAGCAAAAACTTGTTCAAACCTTACATAGAAAGCCAAACATGTCAAAAGTGCTTTCCAGCAGACAGAGTTAAGCAAGATGCTCATCACAACTAATAAATGGCAAACATGTTTTCGAAGGAGAAAAAAAACAACCAGCTGCAGTGAAGGAGCTTCAGTTATAATATGGATTTATAGCTTTCTGTTTGACAGTGGAATTTACAGTGGACAAGGCACTGCCTATTGTTAAGTACAAACCAAACTCTGTGGGGAATTTATCCTGAATGTTGACCTTTCTACTGTTTGTCACGGCAGCAAGGCTTTTGTGCAGCCAGATCAGGTTCTTTTTGGCTGACAGATTTTCAAGTGGAAGGAAGTCTGGAGTATCTCACCACGATAGCTCTTCTCATTATATTTTTTGCATTTTGATGGCTCAGAAGTGCATGTTTTGCAAGCTATCACTCTTGTCATGGATTTAGCCCTCAGGTGAGCCTCAATGCCTTTGATGTGTCAGTTAGCATATGGTTTGGAAGTAAATCCACAAATGCATGCAATACATGCTGTGTTGATGCAATGTGCTGTATTACTGTGTTTTAGACACACACTCCTAGAACACTCTTCAATGACTATGTATTCAAAGATTTAAACTACTACTGTACACAAAAATAAAAGCAATGTTGTAGCTACTTGACTGGTTGTATTTTTTTGGAGTTTCTACAATCTAACATCATGAGATCCTGGCTTATGAATGAGGACCCAACACATTACAATAAATAATAATGATAATAATGAGTAGGAATAACGTGAGAACCCTTCGAACCAAAATGGCTATGTGCTTTTATTTCCTACTCATATGATGATGTAATTGTGCATAGTTTACTTGTAAGAAAAAAATGTAACACCTCTTTACATTTGGAAATGAGGTAATTGTATGTTTTGTCCATCCCATTTTCTTATTTGAACTAAACTGTTACATGAAGGGGACAGCATGGAAAGGTCCTTAGGACAATATTGATTAAGGGAGAGGGAAATTATCGCAGTCAGAGGGGACTTGGAGCTAAACGTTTTCTTTTCCATGCCATTCAGGATGAAACAAGTTTACCATTGAGCCTTCACTTCAACCTTCATTGAGTGGAGTAAGAGAAAGCTGCTACTGATATGAATTCAATACTTTGAGCCTAGAGATATGCATGCACATTTTGAAGATAAATTAAAAAGCTTTTATTTGTTGGAACAAGAGTCCTCTCTAGGAGTTTATACCTTGCTTTCCCCAGCCCCCCATGGCCTCTGAGTGCCTAAGAGATCAAGGCCTTCAGCCTTCTGGTTTGTCTTGTTGCAGTTGATGAAACCCATCATAATTATTCATTATTCAAAGCAAAAGGCTCACATATCAGGCTGAACCTCTGTTAACTGGGACTCGCTGGTCCAGCAACATCCGTGGTCTGACAGGACCACAGGTGTTCCAGGACCAGGGTCCCCGTGGAAGGCTGCAGTTGGGCTCCCTGCAGCAGCACTGTCTGGGACATCCAGGACCCTAATGCCTTGCAGTGGGGCTGCCCTGGTGTGCCGCAAAAGAGCTGCCAGGTGAAGCCAGGAGCTAGGCTGCCTGGCTTAGCGGGGGACAGGAGAAGGGAAAAGGGGAAACTGGCAGGGCAGCGGCGCTGGCAAGCGGGGGCAGGAGGCCGGCAGTGGGGACAGGACTGGAGGGGCAAGTAGCAGGTCAGATATAATCTCCCCATATCTGGCAAAATCCCTCGTCCGGGACCGGTCAGGTTCCGAGGGTGCCGGACCAGGGAGGTCTGGCCGGAACAAACAAATAGGGAACTTAAAACCAGAAATTGGGAACTATTTCCCTTCATTTAGGTCTTAATAATGGTCAACTACTTGTACAATGAACACAAGAAAACTGATCTTGGCAGATAACTGAGGAGAGAGACTATTTCCTGCTATTTCATTTAGTTAGAGGGAAAAAATCCCAAGGAAGAAATTGAATCCCAAGCTGTACAGGCTGGCTTTAATAACTGATTTTAATATCTTTGGGTGGAAACAGAATGTGGCTCCTAGGGCAGTGTCCATAGGAGTTATCTAGCCTCACTTCTAAGCTTCCATCATATATGATCTAGTTTCATTTTTGTGTTTTAGGAGGTACACAGAAAGCTCTGGCAGGTGGGCAACACACACACAGTTTTAAGAGCATTTTGCTGAGGCTGAATGAATTCCACATGCTACAGTCTAACCTAAAATACCTACCACACACGGAATCCTTCTGCCCAAAGTAGGCAGCATCAAAGAGATGGTCTGCAGTCTTTTCGAAAGAAGCCAGCATTAGCACACTCTCTTTCATTTTTGCCAGCCCAAACCTAGTAATGCCCAGGACTTCACCCTAAATCAATACAGAAACAGAAAAAAGTCAGTCATGTGTCAGTCCGGGGTTTCAGTTTAATTGATTGACGAATTAAAGTAAGCCGATACGTAGTTTATTTTAACAGTACTGAACAAGTCTAATAGTCTAGAACGTAGCCTCTATTCCGGTGCTTCATGCTTGGAGTCTTTTAAAGGTTTAAGGCTTTGGTAATAATGAAAGTTTAAATAAAACAAAAAATTCATAGGCAGTAGGATCAGCTACAAATCATTTGAAACTGTATGATGCCAAGTAAATGAAGAGCCTTATGGATGACAGAAAAATGTTCAATTATTAACCAACCACTTAAAAACAAAACAAAGCCAATCTTTGCAGAGGCTGCTATCAAGAACTCAATTGAGAGTGTCAGTTATCGTTGGCCAATGAATTGGACCCCAAGTGTAAAATGACTGGATATTGCCAATCCCCCATTTTAGTCACGTTAGAAATTCCACTTGAATTTAAAGATATTAGATCTAATCCTGCTTCTAAATCCATGTTGCTATAGAGCACCGTGACCCTAGTGGAACTAGTATAGTTGTGATATATGGGACGGATGGGTAAGAGAAAGAAGCAGATGCTGGAAATCCGACAAGCTTGCCAACACTATGCTCTGTGCCCCTTCTCCAATGAAGCGGGGCAGCCGACTTGCTGCAACATTTTGCAAAGCTTTCACAACCAGCACAGAAGCTATTAGAGTCCTAAGAGTGCATCAGTAACTGCCCTGCAGCTTTGGGAAGCAAGGAAACGCCTTAGAAAAGTCCTTAGCTGCTTTCCCTAAGGGCAAAGTGCCCCCACATACTCCTGCAATTCTCACTCGACACACGGGAAAGGATTTGCTCCATTATGTACGTTCACACACATTAGCAAGGGTGTGAGCAGCTATTTTCCTTCCCCAAGGAGCACTTCACATTGCATCAACATGGCCAGTGCTATAACCATCCTCCATTATGTAATCTCTTTCCACTTGCAAGGGCTCTACCCTGCTCTCTGCTACGAAGCGCAGCTGCTGCTTTCAAATATATGAACAGATACACACAATGATGCACATACTTGGGTGCCCACACAAACTATGCTCTTTATTGGGACGGGCCAACTAGTTGACCTCCAGGGTGAAATAAAGACACTCCAACCTCTAAATGAAGCTTTTCAAACAGACTGCGGTTCTCAAGTTATGGATTAAATCACCCTTTAAATTTGAGATAAGAAGTCAGTCAAAAGGGTCAGTGTGATAAGCAGTTATTTCGGTATATAGCCTATTAATAAACCTCAAATGAAAATTCTTCCATTGATTCCATAAAGTTAACTTGGATAAAGAGACAAATGTGACAGCAAAAAGAATGCACCACAAACCTTACCTTGTATGTCATCAGATCTGATAGCAGCATAACATGCCTCCTGTCAATGCTCATACCATGGTTTACCATAGTGTACTGAATCTCATTGATAATGGTGGTTCGAGCAGCTTCAATCCCTAGTGTTCTCTCTACCTAGAAGAGAAATCAAATTAGATAAGTGAAGAGGAGAAATGCTTTAAGCACTGAGGCGTTTCTTTGTTTGACTGAAGATTTTCTTAGTGATCTAACCAGAAAAATCTGAAGTGATTTTCCTCAGATACAGCTTCTATCAACCCCAGCATTTCTTATTTTTTTAAGACTTGAATTAATAAAACATTTGCTCATTAAAAGTAATTGAAGTCTGCAGCTGAATTAGATTATACACATACACACTGATTACTTGTGAAAATAGAAGGGATTAGTTTTACGTTGCATTAGCCATCTGTAAATGAGCATAAGGAGAATCAAGATGCAGCCAGAAGTAGTGATAACACACTCTTGAGCATTACCTCATAAGTGTTGTTAGAAGTGGTTTTTGTTCCTTTAACTCCATGGGTGGCCATGACAGCTCGTAGGTTATCACCTTCCACCAGAAGTTTGTATTTCTCCTTGCCACTCTGCTCATCAATATGAATGACAGCTCGAGACACTTCTGGGATACCTTGCACTACAATCTTTGTAAAATAAAAAGCTGTGTAAACTCAATTTGTCCACGGAGCTTTAAATAGACAAGGTGAAAAAATGTACATCTTACGACTTTACATCAATCCTCAAAGTGATCTAAAAACTCCACTTACAATATCACAGTGGTCTGATCATTAAAATATACATCAGTGTGATGTCTACTATTTAGAAAGGGCATTCGCCACATTACTGTTTTTACAACTTGTCTTCCTGCCCCCATATTTTGAATTGGGGTCCAGAAAACGAGATCTTTTCCTCTTTCTCTGTATGACACACAGCACACACCCTGTCAATTACAGATTTTTATTTGCAACTGTCTCTAAACCTAGACTAGATGTGGCAGATTTTATTATGAGTGGTAGGAAATTTGGTGCTCATAGCACTTTTTATCTTCAAAAGTCTTACAATCAAACATACTCCACAAAAATATCCTAAGAAATCTTCAGTTTACATAGACCACATGGACACTCAATGCAATCAAGAAATAGGAGTATTTCCCACATACAATCTGAAGTGCTTACCAACTGCAAAAGAAAGAACGTCTACTTACCTTTGGTAGCTCTTCTTTAAGGGATTGCAAGACGTAATACATTGAACTCTTACTATTCTCACGAGGGGTCACACATACGACTGCCTCTCCATGGACAGCAACATCCCCTGGCTTTACTCTTAACTTAGATGTGCAGATAGAGTACCGCACAGTCTCTGCATTCACCTGTGGCAAAATGATTCCTTGACTATTAAAACATGTTCTTTAACTAGTTAAAGTCTTCCAGCTCTGCTGAAATCAAATTTCTGCTCCACTCAACTAAAATATTATTGCAGCGGGATGGGTCTAAACAACAGAATGTTCATAGACCATCACTAAATCACTCTCAGAGTGAAACATGCCCCTGTGCAGATTGTCCACATAGGCTTGAGTCTCAGTGTAGTGTTGCATAAGGAGGAACTTTTATTGAACAGGACACAGAACTAAATGGTTTGCCACGCTGCTGCAGTTGTGTTGGTCCCAGGACAGTCAATAATAAAAGAGATATTACTGTGATAGTGGTAAACCAAGTGCCAGCTCTGGCCAGGCTGTACACATTAGCTAAGAACTGATAACCTTGTAGTTGGGAAACCAAACCAGCTTACTGGTATGTTAGTTTTGTTCAACATAAGCATTTGTCTTAACAGAATATACTTAGTGTTTAGACTCTATGAAATGCTTACAAGTTGCTGCATGCATTAATCTCACTTGTAGCGCCTGTCCCTCATGCTCTAAGCAAAGAGGTCAGTATGGCTTTATGGCTCTGAACTTGTGGATCCATGCATGGGAATCATCTCCCACACACTGTAAGGAGGTCTATCAAGATTAAATGGGCCATTAAGAATCAGCATAGTGCACAGAATTGGTGAATGGCCCTATCAGACCTTGGAAATACTATGTACAAGGAGGGTTTGTCTCATGAACTGGAAGGCCAAATGTAAGATATAAAACAGGGTCACATGAGAATTTGTCATCTCTTGGCTGTTTTAACTCACAGGGCCAGAAACATTAAACAAAGGTAGAGGTCCCTCAAGTAAGCAAAGGCTCCACTCAAAGACATTTTGAAGTCACAGATTACTACATCTCTGTCACCTTCAGGAATCATAGATAACTTGAGCGTGTTAAGCGTTTGCTTGCTTTAACTTGTAAACAACTGTTATTTATTTTTCTTATTCAATAAACATTTAGATAGGTTGTTACAGGACTGATACGGGGGCTGATTTTTATGTAAGATCTGGGGTAACTGACTGGTCTCTTTCGACTGGAAGCAACTTGAATAGTGTGTGATGTTTGGTGTCAGTGACCATTTATCACTAAGTCCAGCTTGCCTGGATGGAGCATTTAAGGAGACTGTCTGTGTTTCCCTGATGAGACTGCTACAGTGATCCACTTCAAATTTGTTAATGACGCGATGAAATCTAATTTTAGAGCATTCCGCCAGTTTGAGCTGTCCGCCCTGGTTTTGATAGTTTGCCCCGAGACAGACACTTCTAGATGTGAGTTACGCCAGACAGTGTGACAATTACCTTACTCACTTTCTCAGAACTACACCTGCATTCTAAAAGCCACACTGACCAACAGCTATTCACCTCAGAAGGCTCAAGAGAAAAATACTTTAGCAGTGGTCTGCTTACAAGAGTACCATAATTCTGTGCAACTTAATTGTAAATGCAGACATTAACATAGGTCAGGAAACCAGAACACTTGCTGCCTATGCTATTCCCAGCTCTGGCTCATAAATTGCCAAATCTGAGTACTAAATGGAGTTGTCAAATTTGTACGGATGGGACTAGCTTGTCATCTCTGGAAATGGCATCAACCAGTGTGGATAAAGGGACCACTGCTTGTTCTAGTTTACTGGTCAACAAGATGCAGAAAGCTCACCTCTAGTCTCAGCAGTCTAATCCGCTCCAGTGAGAGCTTGACCAGTATAAAGCAATCATCAGGAAGAAACACTTCTTCAATGTACTCTGAAATCTGCAAGTTACAGATCCAGATGGCATAGTTAGAATCTCTCCAAGAACAGTCATCATCTGCTACAACAAAGAGTCGGCAACAGTACAGACTGGAAATTTTAAGTTTAATGTAGGACCAACAATAAAGATTTTCCTACCTCTCCTAATAGGGTTTTCTCAATTCTTCCCTTAACTAGACGGGCAAAATCAGAATCATCATCCATGTCCAAGTGTGCGGTGATAATAGGTGTGCTACACAGAGTAAGACAGAGCTATAAAATTTACTAGCTAGATTATAAAACAGTATCTTTTTGTTACATCCTAGCTCCTGTGGTTAGTCTCAATTACCATCCTCCATCATGACAAATAGGACAAAGAAACTGCTGCTTGCTAGGAAATAACAGTACCCAAAACTGACACAAAGTTTAAGAAAATTATTCTTTAATTACCTCAAGTTTGGAGGAATACCACAGTTATTGGAATTCACACTCCAAGGTATACAAACTCCATGAGGTTATAAGACGTTTTTATTTGCTGAGTTTACTGTAGCAGCGCTAAAATACAGTTCAAGATGAACATCAGAAATATAGCAGTGTTTTAATTACTGCACATGCTAGACTCATCTGATGTAGACTAATCTGTTGACAGTCTGTAGTCTTTACCTCAATATTCTGGATACAAAGCATTCTGCTTTAGTCAGTTATGAAATTATTCATTTTCAGAGGAAATGATTGCCTAATCTTGTGGTTTGGCCCATAGAAGAGTCCTTTTTGGACGGACTGAAATAGGAGATTTTCTTCCGATTAAGATAAAATGTGATGAGTAACTGGGTTCATCACAGTTACATATCTGACAGCATAAACCGTGCATAGTCCTGTAAGGGAGAGGCTACTCTGGGCTGCAGGTTAATCACTTTTCACTAAAGCAGAGGAATAAAAAAAAAAGTTGTTTCAATACCTGATTGCTTTGGAAGCATTTATAATTTCTTTGATTCTTGGAACACCCAAAGTGATGTTCATTGAGGCAACACCAGCGAAGTGGAACGTTTTCAGAGTCATTTGTGTGCCAGGCTCACCAATACTCTGAGCACACAGAGCTCCTACTGCCGAGCCAGGCTCCATCTGTGCCCTGAGAAGAAAACCAAGGGTGGGGGAAAACCCTTCAGATCAAAAAACACACAATAAAACAAACTGCTCATCTATTTATTTTAGAAATGAGTATCTGTCTGTCTTTCCATCTGTCTGTAAATATATTTGCTCAAGAATGCTCCTAAACAGTAAGAGTTCATTATATGGATGATTGTGAACAAGCTTGGGATGTGAATGGTTAACTGGTAAGCCTCACCCATTAAGGGTGAGGCTTACTGGTTCCAGTTAACTGATGGGGGGTGGGGATGGAGCAGCCACCTGTCCACTGTGGGCAAGGGGCTATTCCAGCTTCGTGGCAGGGGAACTCCAGCTCAGCTGAAGCATTGGTTAATTTCAAACAACCAGGTTGTATTGCAGCAACAACACCGTTATTAAGGCTGGTCTGCACTCAAAAACTTATATCGGTATAGCTGTCTCTGTCAGAGACAGTACTGAAAGACTACCTCAGTTCTGACAGAAGTCCTGCATGGTGCTGCTTCTGCTAAAACTATAATGTAATTAACAAATAAATGTTTCATAGCAACTAAGCCCAAATTCCAAAATTATAGCATTGTGAATAAATCACAAGGGGAAGATTACTACATCAAAACCTTAATTAAAACCAGAATTTACTTGTGTACCTTGATCACCCTCCAAGGCTATACAAACTTATTAACACAAAAAAAGAAGCCATGGAGTAGGTTTGTACATGCTTTGTACGTGAGTAATGATTTCTGGTGAACACAACCTAGTAATTCCAGGCAAGAAAATCAGCTTACTTGTTAATTATCTGCAACATAAATCTAATGCTTCTAAAATGGTGGTTTTCAAATGGCAACCCACAGACTACGTCTCACATTTCTAAAGGGTGCAAAACTCCATTCGAAACATTTTAGGGGTCCTCAAATGAAAAAAAAAAAGTTGAAAACCACTGTCCTAGCAGCAAGAAGCTATGAAAATAACCAATGCATGTAGTAAAGCAGAGTAGAGGTCCCCTTCTTTCATATACCAATGAACCAAAACGCAAGGTTTGTGACCCTTCTCTCTTCATATCAATCAACTCACAATGAATAACACAAAGAGAAGAGCCTTCAGACTATCAGTGTTTTCTTACGTTATAGAAGCAACTGCCCAGAAATGAGTATCAGATTCAGGATCAGTGCTGTGCAAAATGGAAGATAACTATTGTCTACAATTTATAAGCCAAGATTAACCGTCAAGGTGGTAATGGCCTTCCGATTGACCTAACTTGAACACTACTTCAATACTAAGACCATGTCTACACTACCACTTTTGTCAGTATAACTTGTATCGCTCAGAGGTTTGAAAACAAAAACCACTCCTGTGAGTGATAGAAGTGCTGGTATGGACTGTGCTACATTAGGGGAAGAGCTTCTCCTGCTGACAGAGCTATCACTGCTCATGGAGATGGTTTCATTATGCCTCTCTCCTGTCAGCATACAGTGGCTACATGAGCAATCTTACAGCAATGCAGCTGCATTAGTACAGCTGTGGTGCTTTACGCTCTACTGTAGACATGTTCTCAGTCTATGAAGGTTACCACTGCAATAACCTTGTGAGGAAAGAAGTCTATACATGGCTACCACTTTCCTATTTTCCCTTATGTGTTTCTTGTACTCCCACAAGTAGCATTTGACTAGTATCTCCTGACATTTGCAACCTCCTTTGACTTGAACCTGCTGTGAAACCACAGTCCTTAGGATATGACAAAATAATGTATAGCTGTGGAAAAAAAAACGAGACAATTTAAATCATTTAGATAAAGATGGTCTATGGAATACACAAGCTGTGGCTTAAGCAGATAGCTCTTTACAGAGCCAAGAAGAGAGGATTGATGCTCAAGACTGAAGTAATGGAAATATTAAAGTCTCTTATGTAGAAATATTTAAAGTAACAAAATATTACTTCTATTTCTTCAAGAAGAAAATACAAATAAATGAGAAAGGATGGCATTCTGGTTAAGGCACTGGACTGGCACTTGAGCTAAAGCTCAAATTTTAACTGTGCCACAAACTGCCAATGTGACCTTTGGCAACTCAATTTCCCCAGCTGTCAAACAGTGACACTATTACCAGCTTTCTTTGACTCACAACCTGTTTTGTGTGTTTAAGGGCTTTTGGCCAAGGTCTCTTGCTATGCACTGCACAGCACTTAGCACAAGAGTGGGCAATAATTTCTGCAGAGGCGCCACTCCAAGATTTTGTAAGTGGTCACACTTTTCTACTATATTAATGGAGGCAGTGCAGTGTCTAGGATGGAGTTTGGGTGCAGGAGGGAGCTCAAGGCAGGAGACTGGGTGCAGGGCCTGGAAGGGAGTTTGGGTGACGAGGGGTCTGTGACTTGAGGTACGGGAGGGAGTGCAGAAGAGGGTGCCAGGTGCAGGCTCTGACCAAGAAGCACTTATTGTAGGTGACTCCCTGCCGGTGGCCCAGGGGGTCGCTAATGTGAAGGGGTCAGTGGTTCTCTGTGTGTTGCCTATGCCTGCAAATGCTGGCCAATAGGAGCTGTGAGGATGGTGCTGGGGGCAGCAGCAGCGTACAGAGAGCCTCTGCCTCCCCACAAGAGGCACGCAAGCAGACACACACTTGCCCCAGCAGCTTGCCGCTTTGAGCGGCGCGTGAGGCCGTAGCTTGCTTGAACATCCTGCTGGGTAATGAGGGATTAGCAGCCCAGAAGGTGACAGTGGGCTGCATTTGGCCCCTGGGCTGGATTTTAGTCATCCCTCACCTAGTGCAATGTGGCCTTTAGACACTACTGTAACAACAACATATTCAGATTTAAGTCAATCAGTTATAAACTCTTGTTTAATAAGTGGTGAATACTGAATTGATGTAAGCTAACTGGAAGAAAACAATACCCAAAATTTTACCTCATGTATTTATCCCTACAGGTCTCTAGAAACTTCTCTAGCTGTGTTGGAGTAATTCGATCCAATTGGTACAAAACACGTGGCTGAAGAGATGATGAGACAAAAGTTAGAAATCCAATAGGTTATGGAACTTTACTGTAAGTAAATTTGTTGTTGGCCCTCTGAAGACAGTTACCTCTGTTGTGCCATTGTCATTAATGCCATATTTATCCCTGGTTTTCTTGATCTTTTCAGAAACACTTTTGATGAACTTTTTAATCTCCTGAAATTTAAAAAAAGTAATATTTATGCAACAATATACAAGTCTTGTATTGCAGCACTACTATCGTGAATGTTATATGGTTACAGATCTGAAAGAACTGTTTCACAGCAGTAAATAAGCAAAGCACACTATGAGAAAGAGGACTCCAAAACCTATGCATACAGAATGTGGGTACTGAAAACCCAGTTGCCCTTTGCTGTACCGCCACGGATTTTTCAGCTACATCAGGAATTTGTCCCAATACATAGTAAGTATTCTTCCTCAGCACCTGCCTAGAAACTGAAAAACAATTTTGACTTTGCTAACCTGAGAGAGTCCATGTTGGAGGATGCCTGTCCTTCTGACCCACCCTTCATTTAATGTGAATATGCCACTATTACTACTTGGTGAGTTTGTCACTATTTTAAAAGTTAATGGTTCCTGCAGAGTTTAAGTTTTCCACTTGCATACATACAAACAGGAACAGCATAAGCAGTAGCAAAACAACCTTCTCCAAACTCCACTATCATGTCAACATACCTCAGCAGTGACTTGGGAGAACTATTTTCACAACACAGGACAATTCAGTTTTCACAGTCCTTTTAAATCCTTGGCCTCTCTGCTGAGGCAGCCAATTGTGCTGATGACTAGATAATATAGATAGTTAACCACTACTAGTACCAACAACTCTCTGAGGGTATGTCTACACTACAAAGACAATTCGAATTAACAGCCATTAGTTCAAATTAACTTTCATAGGCGCTACACAAACAAACCGCTAGTTCGAACTTAATTCGAACTAGCGGAGCGCTTAATTCGAACGAGGTAAACCTCATTCTACGAGGACTAACGCCTAGTTCGAATTAAGTAGTTCGAATTAAGGGCGGTGTAGCCACTTAATTCGAACTAGTGGGAGGCTAGCCCTTCCTAGCTTGCCCTGGTGGCCACTCTGGGCCAAACCAGGGAAACTCTTCTGCCCCCCTCCTGGCCCGGAGCCCTTAAAGGGGCACGGTCTGGCTACGGTGCTTGTGCCAGGTGCAAGCCTACCAGCACCCAGCCAGCAGACCCTGCACCTGGCACAGCACGAGCCAGCCACTCGCTGCCACCCAGCCCCCTGCCTCTTCCCGGGACCAGGCTGGCGGCTCTCAGGAGCCTGCCCGGAGACGAAAGAGGCGGGAGCCCGCCTGGTCTAGTGCGGAGATCGTGTACCTCATCGAGGTTTGGGGGGAGGCCTCCAACGTCCACAACCTCTGCACTAGACACAGGAAAGTGGCCATCTAGGGCAGGATAGCTGCCAGTCTGGCCACATGTGAACCCCGGAGCAGGTTTGCCT